ACCTCGCAAAGAGTTTTAATTTAATTAATATTAAAGCTGGATTCTTTCAACGTGATGTCATGCCAAAAGGTGTCTTCTTTTCTATTTTTAAAAAAGACCCTCTATTGATTTGTGATTTGGTAATATTAATTACAGTTGTATATTTTATTATTTTGTTATTGCTCAATAACTTTGAATTCAGTTGTTCTGAGAAAACATTAACAGTCAAACTTCAGACCAAACCTCTATGCAGTTAGTAGTTTAACTGGCCATCACTTTTAAAACAGCAACAAGGTAAAGACAACGTGTACGGGTGAGTTATCCATGAAATAAGTAGTTGGTTTACAAAATGAATTCCGTCTTCGTGGATAAAAATGAGTTACAAAAAACTCTCCTGTATGCGTTAAATGCTACATGTAGGGATTTCCCCCAGTATATTCCTTCTCTTTTGTATGGCTGTTTGTTATATGCCTCTCTTGTCACTAGGTATATGGTTGTTTGTGATTACGCATCTCTTGTCACTCTAATCCAGCTGATTCAGAATGCGACGTTTTGGGGGAAAAACGTTCCAAACATTATTTTTGCGATAATGGGGGGTTCAAATATTTTCAGACCTTTTTCGACCTCAATTTTCAAAACATGTTGTGCAATTCCAGCATTCCGGGGCCCCCTCTGGGAATTTGGGCCCCCTTTCAAGTTGACTTTTTTTGGACTGAGTACTGCCTGTGTTCTAGATGTATACAGTGTGTCCCCCAAAAAAGGCTACCCTTTGTGAAGTCAAGCGCTAGTGCCGCATATTCGAATTTGAATGCTTTAACTCCCTAATGAGCCCTGGAATGCGTAAAACGTTATAGCAGAGCATTTTTATGCATGCATTGCAAATTAATTGAGATTTGTTCTGCTAAAATAACACAGAATGGAATGCATGAATATAATTGACTACAGGCCCGTTAAACGGTAATAATTTTTGGCCCGGCACTCTTAAATTTGGGCATGCACACTCATTTTTTTGGGTACGTCATTTGTGTTTACACGAGTTGTTTTTGTCAGGTTGACGGGCCACAAATTTTGTTTAGAGTGCTTCTGTCAGCCAGGCCATGTTATATGGGCACTACTAAAAGCGTGCCAGCAATACGTTTTTGTTGCGGTAAGCGACGTCAAACAGCATTCGCTAAATGTTTCACTTTTTTTCTTCAAATATGGCGGCTTTCAATAGAGTAAACAAAATAAAAAGGATTTTGGCTTGGTTGATGTATCTCCGGAAGCGTGAGAATTTAAATAAAAAACAGAACAAAATTGCTAAATAGCAAATTATGCATGATGCGAGGAACAAATATGCACTACCTTTTATGAATGTGATTTTAATGGCCATTAACAGTCCTCGAACAAGGGAAATATGGATGCATCCAAGATCACTCGCTTGGTTTGATATGGTTGATAGAGATTTTGACGATAAACTTTGGTACGTTAATTTCTGCGTAACAAGAGAAACATTCAATTTTCTTTTAAACAAAGTAAGACATGATTTACTGCACGAAAATACTGTCATGCATTTAGCAATAACGGCGAAGAGACGACTTGCGCTTACGTTATATTACCTTGCATCCACAGCGGAATTTAAAACAATAGCAAACTTATTCAGAGTTTCCCGATGTTTGTGTGTGTTTGCATTAGGAAAGTATGCTGTGCCATTACCAAACGACTGTCAAAGGTCATTACATTTCCACGCGGACAAGATTTACGGCAAATTATTGATGGGTACGAACAAAAGTGGGGGTTTCCGATGTGCACGGGGGCGATTGACGGCACTCACATCCCAATAATCACACCTACTGAGAGCCATGTAGAATACATCAATAGGAAAGTCTTCCATAGTATAGTGATGCAAGCTTGTGTTGATTGTAACTACTTGTTTTGCAATGTTGTGGTTGGTTGGCCTGGAAGCGTTCATGACGCACAGGTTCTTTCCAATTCTGCAATTTACAAGCAAGGAAACGAAGGCAAACTGTTCCCCACAGACCTCACAAAAGAAATTAACGGAGAAGAAATACCCCCGTCATAATAGGAGATCCCGCGTATCCATTGTTGCTTTGGCTCTTGAATGGGTTTCCTATGAAAGGTGTTTTAACTAGAAAACAAAGAGTATTTAACTATCGCTTAAGCCATGCCCGAATGACGGTTGAGAACACATTTGGCAAGTGGAAAGGCCGCTTTATTAGATTTATCAAGCGTGTTGATATGGAGGTAAAAAACTTGGTTATTATTGTCTTAGCGTCATGCATTTTACATAACATTTGTGAAGTGCAAAATAACAACTTTCTGCCACAGTGGGAAGAAAATGTTAACCTGCAAGAACTTGCAGTGCCAACCGATGACGTAGTAGAAGAAGATGGAGAAGACATTCGAGAAATATTAACTGAGTTTTTTATGTCAGGATAAAAGATTCCAAACCTTTTATATTGCGATCAGAACATGATTAGTAAAGTTACACTGTAAAATGCATCATACCATTCATGTTGTTGTAAATTCATGTTATATTAAGAGCGACACTGTCCGTAAAAATCGAGCAAAATTTGAATTCTGCGGCAATACACAAAAAATAGATTTCGTTCATATTTTGCTCAAATTAAGGTAATACCTAGTTAGAAATGGTGTTTGGGTTAGATTTTCAATATTTGGTCGATAAACGTACAAATATCAGAAATCAAGAATTTGTCTCCAGGAGGCTATAATTAGCCGCAGACAAAGCCGCTGCCATGGTCAGTTTCATCACTTCGCGACGGATTCAAAACTGCCCGTAGATAGTTTTGATGGTATAATGACTATAATTCAAGTATTAAAGAACAATTTTATCAATATGGAATGGCCCAGGAGGCTTTAGCTGGCCTGACAGACGTTGTTGAAATTGGCTATTTTTAGTCAAATTTGAGAATTGCATTTTGTCACTGGATTTGAAGGGGAAATTTACTATGTGTGATAATCGTGAATTTGTTTATATTTCATCCACGGAATGGTATAGCATGAGTACATGTTATATATAAAAACGAGCTTGGGTTATTGCCTTGGAGCCTCACGCGAGACTTTTAAAAAAGCTCATTTTGGTGATTTTCAGTGGAATGGATTTTTGTGTCACGTGACACAATTAAATCATTAGGCCCATACGTCTATACCAGAGTCACGAAGCTCAAATTGTTCAAAACTTTGAATTTTGTGTTTCGATATCAATGTATATGCTTTGTATACTTTATAAAGAGTCGTTTAGAAAGATTTTCAATATATTTTAGTGATAGGCCTACTTACAACAAAAGCACAACAAATCATCATATCATTATAATTACTAGACTGTATAACATTGCTATTTATAGCAATTCGATGAGTTTAGTTCTTAGATTATTTGATGATGAGTTTAGTTCTTAGATTATTTACAAAGCAAATCTATATACCTATAAAACTGACAGATATGTGACAGATATATGTCACAGTTCTGTAAAATATCTGCAAAATACATGTTCGAAAGTATCTGCCACATATCTGCAACATATAGGAATTTGGCCCCATAACATATCTGTCACAGTTATGTGACAGATATCTGTCACAGTTATGTGACAGATATCTGTCACAGTTATGTAACAGATATCTGTC